AAAGCGATCCCATTCCTGCTTTGGGCTGAATGGTCTATGACCATGGAGCTGAACAACTCCATCTGAATTCAGAAGAACATCTGCAGGCTCCCTCTCCAGGGAAGGTTTGGATGTTTGTCACTACCAACACATTTCAGCCATCTACTCATCCGCTTGGTCCAGACAGAACCAACATATGTCTGACACGTTTGTCTGAAAAGATCTAATAATGGAAATTTCACAGTCTTTACTATGGGAAGCACAATAATGCCAACCCCAAATTTTTCTGGTTGCAAATTAGATTGTTGCTTGCCATCTCTTGGATGGCTTGTAAAGCAGCTCATCACCATCCTCTATATACCAGAAGATTTTTGTCATGCCCTCCCTTTTCCCTTTTCTCCATGAAGCAAACCTGCACCTTTCACTCCTTCCTGATTGCATTTTGTGGACCTGGTTTTGTGGATCTTCACTGAAGTCTCCCAGTAACCCCACTCTGATGGCAGAGAGACTAGAACAAGAAGGAACATTGGTTTAGATACAACTTTTCCTTCCCAAGCTATCCCAGCCCAAAAGAGGAGTTCAGTGGGGGAGGCAGACCCTCATACACACGTAGCTAAGCTCTCAGCTGACTATGCAGAGGAGAACAAATACAGCTTGTTTCTGGAGCACTTCAGCCCCAAGTGAACAAAACCAGTCCTCCCCAAAATACCCCAAAGATGCTCTAAATTCCTTCAAGGTGCTGTTCTGGCAGCTGCCAGGGACTCTCCACAGGCCTCTTGTCTCTCTTATGCCATTGGAGAGGGCTGGAACTCTGAAGGCTGAAAGTCCTTCCACTGATCCAACAGGGATATGAATCAGAGGTGAAGAACATCTCACCCCAAGGCGTTCAGCAATGTCATTAAAAGTTGGACATTAGCTCGTGCTAATGTTAAGCCCAGACTTTAGACCCAAGCACACACTTTAGCTTGCTCGCCCCTGCTTTGCTGACCATGGCTCGGAGGATAAGCCCTTGTGGCCTTGTGAAAAAGCAGCATTATTAGAAAGTTGCCCTGGAGTTAAAAAGAATTATTTGATGAAAGCCTATAAATCAAACAAGCTTTCAACATCACAAGTAGGTTCCACAAAATGCTTTTAATAAAATGAAGTTTCTGATGTCCATTAGTTCTGTTGACAGAGAATTATTAGAAGACTGTGCATCCACAAATTTACTTGCCCTATGCTGGAGCACTGACTGTTTCCATCCTCTTAACTCACTCATGCTTTTAACTAATCCACAATACTTAGCAAAGCAGCAGCAGAATCCAGGGCATGTTTTAAACCAAGCTGGCATTAGTGATTCCCTGCTCTCCCAGAAGGAATCCGGCATCTAAATCCTCATGCCTTTGAACAACCGACTTCCCTTTCATAAAATACCCTCCTGGTGGTGCACAGCATGTGGAACTGTTCCCAAATTATTTACACAGGTCTTCATGCAAGAACCTGCTCCCAGCAAACATTTTGCTTGTCTTACTTCAACATATTCTCAAGTCTCATGGTCTTCATGAGCTTGTGTCTTCACCTAGCAATGCATGTACCTGTAAGTGCAAGTGATTTCCCAGATCAGCTGCCTTCAACCACATCAAATCTCAAGCCCAAGTAAGCTTCTCTCTAGCAGATAACAACATTTCCCATCAGTAAAGCATCATGGAGAGAGAAGGATCCAAGAGCATTAGCAGTGTTACCAACGTCGAGCCCTCCCAGGCTTGGGAGATGCTGGCACCCGACAGTACGCAGCAGTGCTGGAGGGCTGCGCTCCAGGCCAGCCAGAGAAACGGAGTTTATCAGACCTAAGCAGGTGCCCGAGTGGAGCTGTGCACGTGAGCAATGTCAAGGCTGGCCAGATGAGAAAGGATCTGCTCTTTTGCATGACTGCTCTTAAGCTTTTTTGACACAAAACCTGACGGTTATTAAGGTTTGGCACAGACATCTCTATACACCAAAACGAGAAGCTCCTCATGGCGCAATTTTGGCCACAGCTCTAGCAGAGGGTGCTGTGATCCTGATTTCTCAAAAAGAGGGACATTTTGTATTAGCTTTTTTGTATTTTGTTTGAGAAAACTCCACTTTGCTCCTGTAACAGAGGCTGGATCTTTTCATGTCCTTTTCTCTTAGTGATTCAGGGAAAGGAGGGCACGGTTACCAATACTGCCCTCAATTCATGAACATTTTAGCTCCTCTTTTCCATCAAAAGCTGAAACTTTAATCAAAAAATCTAAAAAAGGAAAAAAGCTAAGCCTTTGCACCAGGTCAAACACTTACTGCATTCCTGGCAGCTTTTTTCTCTTTTCTGTCAGCATTATGTGGAATTTCTTCTGGTTTTCCCATCATAGCCTGTTTCACACTCAGTTCCCTCATCCATTTCATCTCTATGGACTATAAACAGCAACTCAGAATAAAAATACAGCTGAGCTGACAGTCGGAGAGCATCTCCTCCCTTGCAGCAATCCTGGCTGGTAATAGTGACAGTCCCTGAGATGGAGATGGGGCGGCTGGGTTGCAGCAGCCTTGTACGAGGTCTCCATGTCCCTAAAATGGGGCACTTGCAGGCACCCTACGGATTTAGGGTTATGGGCTTGCTTTAATCCACTCTTTTTCCTTTCATCTTGGCTCTCTTATAGGCCCCAACTCTTTCACGGAGGCAGTGGCTTACATCCAGGCTCAGTACGAGAGCAAGAACAAGTCCCCCAACAAGGAGATCTACACGCACATCACCTGCGCCACCGACACCAACAACATCCAGTTCGTCTTCGACGCCGTCACGGATGTCATCATCGCCAACAACCTGCGGGGATGCGGACTCTACTAAAGCCCTGTCCTCCCCTCCTCTCTTCACGCCCACCGGGAGCATCCTCCAGTCCCACGGGCAGGTCCTCTCTTTCTTTTTTTTCCTCCTCAGAAGATGATGAGGAAGAAATATGTAAATCCCTCCTCCTGTCCCAGAAAACTTTGCAGCAAGTTCTGCTTTCCCCAGCCCCGTTTTATTTTATTTTGGTTTATTTTGGGTTCATTCCCTTGCTGCCTCGTTCTACTCCTCCGTTCCAATTCACAGTGCTGTAGAGGGAGCTAACACGTTTCCCACAAAGTGCATTTCAACTGCCAAAAGACAAAAATACTTCAGTTTAAAAAAAAAAAAAAATCAAAGCCTTAAAATACTGGTCAGCAACAGTGTAGTTTGGAACCAAAACTTTTTTTTTCCTTTAGGGAAAAGGGATATTTTTAATTCTCCTGGTTATTTATCTTTTTTTTTTAAAACACTACTCCTTTGGGAAGCGCTAGATACAACTTGATCATTTTGAGGGTACCTTACGGCTCCAGTTCCTACCCGAAAGCCGGAGGGGTCTGTGTTGAAAGCAGCCACTGCAGCTTGGATTTGTATATTCTCCCTTTTTCCAGACAGCTATTTGAACAAGTAAAACAGCCATATTGAGTTCTGCTGGTGTCTGAGTAAGAAGGACACAGTAACAAAACCTACTAAGCGTTGTCTAAAAGCATTCGTTACCGGTAACAGTTTTACCTCAATTTTTTCAAAATTAATGTTAAAATATGTCTAGTGGTTTCAGTAACCTGTTTCTGAGGCACTTTGCTGGATGCCACGGAGCTGCTGCGCTGAGCGGAGCGGTGGCAGCTGGGCTTGGACCCCGGGAGCGTAGGCAGCAAGGATGCCCCAGGGATGGCATGCTGATGGGGACCCTGCGGATGGGGGCATCCTGGCGAGGATGCCAGCCTGGGTACCCAGCAACCTTTCCCAAAGCACGTCCCAGCCTAAGTGATTTCAGCACAACCGATGCTCCTGCAAACACGCAGCGTCTCTTTCCAAACGTCAGCCCTGAAACGCTGGCGTGCACCAAAAATATTTAGCCCTGGCTTCTTGTAGGCAGGGTTTGACCTTCAAGTACCTGAAATGCAGAGAGGTGCTTTGGGAAAGCTCACCATGCTTGGGTGACAGCAGGGCATGCAGGAGCCTCATGGCTTTTTATCGCACCTCGGGCATCTAAATACCCTTGAGAAGCCCGACCTGGCAATCTGAGCCCCCTCAACTGAGCAGAAGCAGGTAGCTTGCCTGGATGTCCAGGAGAGACAGCTCCAGGTTCGGTGTCTCCAGTCAGGGCATCTCTTTACCAGTATCTAAAGCGAGAGGGATGGTTTATACTGGCCATGTAGCGGCGAGGGAAGGCTCAGGGAGCTGATTTGAGCCAAGTGATGGAGTAGGAAGGAAAAGTGCAAGGAAGAGAGGGAAGGAAGGAAGGGCAGGGGGAGAGGTATGGAAAGGGCAAGGGTAGCACCCAGCACAGCAAAATGTGGGGGCACAGAGGGGAAAACAAACATGGCTGGGCTGGGGTACATGTGGCCATCCATCTGCCATCACCAAGAGCTCTGGGTGCCATTGGGGTGAAGGCAGAGGGGCGTGTGAGAGGTGGGGTGTCACCTCTGGGAGCGTGGAGGGACCCTTAGAAGTCCACCCCGAAAGCTTGTTTGGTGTCTGAGTGAGACAGCCACCTCTGAGGTCCCACTCGGCATGGCAGCTGGGGGCAGGTAGGCAACCCTGATCCCTGCCTCTTCTCTGCCTCTCTGAAAAGTCCATAATCCTGGAAAACGTGAGTCTTTCCAGGCCAGCCACAAGTTCAGCTGTCCTCTCTTGGGAGCCCAGCCTAGGGGTGTCTTTCAGGTCTCAGGAGGTCTGAGTTTTCTCCAGTGCCATGTCTGAGAGGCATATCTCTTTTGTCGCTGTGCCCATCTAGGAGAGATGGTGTGAGAGCAGCCCAAAGCAGCACAGCCCAAAGGCAAGGGGAGGCAGGGAAAGGAGCAGGTATGGTGGCAGGGGACGGAGAGGAACGGCAGGGGAGGTTTGGGGGGTGCGGTTTGGGACAGAAGTTGCAGAAGGGAGATGAGGCAGGTTGAGGCAGCAGGGAGGACGGGAAGAGAAGGGCACCTGGGAGGCGGAGGAGAGTCCCCATCGGAGGTTGCGCTCGGCTGGGACAGCATTTATGGGACATCCACGACAAAACCCCAGCCAGGGATGCGAGCGGGAGCACCAAGGGGCAAACAGGGGAGGCCTGCGGAAGAGAACAAGGTGGCTTTCGCCTATCTAACCAGCTCACAGCCCAGCTTGGTTGGCAGCTGTGTCAGTAACCCCCTAGACAGCATTAAATTATAAAACTGTATTTAGTATCGTACAGTGAGGACCCACTGCTGTTCTGCTGGACACTAACAGCAATAACGCCAGGTCTCTGCCTCCCCTGCTCTGGCCCAAGGGAGTACCCACCTTTCTCTTCACCATCTCAGCCTTAAAATACCTCTGGTGGCATCAGCTCCCACAAAGAGCTGGCCAGCCAGCAAAGCCAGAAGCCCCCCCTCTCTGCTCCTCATCCCACATCCTACCCCCTTGTCTTGTTTTCCTGGGTCCCAGCTCCCCTCCCAGCTCCATTTAATGCCGGCACACTCTGCTGTACAACCGTAAACCAAAGGAACACTGACCACAAGGCCTGTGCATTTAATTGTATTTGGTTTAGCTTAGGATTTTCAGAGTCAATGGGAAGGATTTTCAAAGAAAGGATTTTCAGTGGGAAGCACCTGCCCAGTTTTCTGGTTCCTTGGAAGGGACCAGCCACATGCCCCGACCCTGAAAAGATTTACGTGCATGTTGAGTTCTAATCCCTGCATACTAAAGCCAAGGGAATGACAGTAAAATGCAACCAACCTGTTTGTTTTTGCAGGAAGAGGAATTCAGAGCATAAGTGATGTGAAAAAGAAATATGCAGGACTCAGATCCACTCCTGCCAAATTTCCCCTCGACCCCAAGCCAAACTTTCTGCTTGCTTACCCTCTGCTTATCTCAGAGGTCATTTTACTCCAGGTGAAAGCTGGGCTGCTCTCTGAGGTCATTGAATTAGTCTAGTCCCTCGCTTTGCTTTTCAAGACAATGCATGATGGCAATGGGATGGTGCTTCTGCCACAGAGCGGGCAGGGAATTAGCTGGCAGGATGCAGAGGGACAGGGATGCTCCTGGAGCTTGTCCCATGCAGGTGACCAAGTCCCACCAGTAACACCTAGTGTTCAAATGCGCATTGAGTGTCAAAGTGCAGGCTGAAAAGTTGTTGGTTACATTTGGTACATAAAGTGTACCTAACGACTAGACCCACAGTGAAGCACCAGAGTTGTGTGCAGTGGTGCGCTCATGACTTGTGCTGGCAGCAAGGCAGGTCTTAATTAAGCTGTTTCAGAAGGAGTTGATCAGCAGCACTAGAAGTTTGGAGATTTTCTGTTCCCACTCCTTGCTGCGGGTGACATTTTATCGGAGCGAGTAAGTAACAGAAGCTGTTCCCAGTGAAGGCAGCACCAAGTCAAGGCTTCAGGAGTTCACAGCATAAAGCACACAGGAATATTTTGGTAAAGGCAATTTAAATTAATGCAACCCCAAACTACCAAATGCAGCCAATCACCCGTGCCAGCTTGGTGTGCTTGTGCCACGCTCCAGGCTGGATTCAGGCAACCGCACCCGGCTGTGCTGGCTGGGAGGTCCAAACCCTCCTGCCCCAGCCCCTCCGCAGCTCCGTCTGGTTCCCTGGCTCGTTGGTGATGATCAACGGCTGGTGCTCCACAGGGAGAAAAGGGAAAAAAAGAGGAGGAAACGTTGACAAGATGGAGCCTTTTCTTTCATTTTCTTTGGCATATTGTATGTCTAAAGCTTCATTTCAGCTGCTGCTGCTGACATTCCCTCCCTCACACGAGTGTCGTGAGGATTCACTGACAAAGGCTGGAAACGGCGTTTGGAAGATGAAATGCTTCCAGTGTTAAACACTACTATTTCTCCCGCTTGATGGCCTTGTATAGATTTTTGTCTCCAGAATGCCTGCCAAAGCATTACTCACTGCTGGCTTTCTGCATCCTCCCAAGCCTTTTCTGACAGATGTGCCTTCTGCAGGCAATCTTTTGCCCTGTGCTTTTTCTAAACACCAGCAATCCTTGCTGCAATTGCCTAAAAAGACGACCTTGAAATGTATCCCCTGCTTTCAAAAGCCCTCTTCTTAATAGCCCCTTGTGCTTTGCAATTGCAACAGTCCGAATCCAGACCCTCAGAGGCCCCAGGTTGTGTTGAATTTGCAGTCACCACATAGCAGCGATGTTGCAACTGGTAGAGATGCAACAGAAATACTGGGGCATGGGGGACGTATTTTAAAAGCACAATGATTCACAGAATTGAAACAGCTATGTGTACACCCTGCTGCCCTTCAAAGCCAATGTGGGAATTTGCGAAGGATACCCTTTTTGGGATGCAGGAGGTTTTTAATGACTCAGGTCACTTGTCCAGCAGCAGCAGCATCCGAGGGGCATCATGTTGAAAGCAGCGTTAGCAACTCTCAATGAGCTTCAGACAGCAGCAAAAAGAAAGAAGGAAGCCCCCTCATATGCTCCATTGGCAATGAGAGGGTTGGGTGTGTGGAGCCATGAGACAAAAAAAAAAAATGCACATAGCTCCTTTATTTAAACAACAATTTTGATGAAATAGAGAACCCTGTAGAAGGAAAGCCTTGGAATGAACCTGTAGATGAGGCTGCAGGGTTAAGCTGCACCCAAGAGCACCATGCTCCTTGGGAGGATGCAGTAGCTGGGCTCGTTAGGAGAACTAGCAATAAATACACACTGGGAAAGCACACATTAAAATACAGCCACATATACTTCAAAGGCCAGTTTTTTTCTTTAGCAAATAGAATTCACACTCCCGTTTTTACATACGGCCAGAGGAGCCCCGCCGAGCGGCAGGGCAGCGGGACCACTTGGCGAGGCCATCTGGCCCCTCCGTCTGCTAGC